ACTCCCAAACACCACACACCCAAACCCACGCCCCCACACGCACACCCTCACACACACATCCCGCCCATGCTCACACCCAAACCTCGTCACACACAAACGCAAACACACACCACGCACACACCCAGACACACGCATACACACCAAGCCTACACTGTCTCTCTCTCTCTCTCTCTCTCTCACACACACACACTCACAGACACACACACACACACACTCTCATCCGGCCTCACAACTAACACCAAACACCATGCACATCACGCCCACACTCATACCTACCCACCCCTCACACACCCACACACCCCAACTCACACACAAACGTACACTTACCCCCCACACACATCACGCCCACTTTCATAGCCGAACACAGATCAACCCAAGCATTAAAAATGTGTAACTGATATTATTCACCAACGATATGTGTCGTCACAACGTAGACGGAAGTAATTGGGAAAAGAAATACCTATAATATCGTTTAATTTTTAATATAATTGAATGACTGCCCAGAATAAGGACGTATCTGACATAATCACAATTTTACAGTAGAAAGAGTAAAACTTTGTAAGATGTATTATATGAAATACATAAGTGGAACCATGGCCATAAGTGAGAATACAATTTAACTCAATATTTCAAGATAATGAATGTGGCTATATTATGGTTTTGTAACCGCTTCGGTACTCCATTTACTATTGTGAAAAAATGATGTATCGTAATGAATATACGTAATTTTTCTATTGTAATATACAATATTGTGGAATTGGCACAGTTAAATCAATGAATGGCTTATTTCGAAGTCAATGAAACGATAATTCTTTCTAACATAATTAAGAAGCTGCAATTAAAACAAAATTTTAACTTAAATGTCCGTAGTCGCGCTAGCATATTTTCTAGGTAGACTTCTCACGAGGAATGAGCATTCATGTTAAATTGCGTGCCAACGTTTGCAATCCTTACATACGGTTTTAGACCCGAAAATCCAAAAACTTATTGACAATCTAATATTTTTCTTTCAAATACAACTAGGGTAGTTATACTCTACAGTATAGGGAGGTAAAAAGTACAAATTTAGATAGGATTGTCCATGTTTAATCAACCTCCATATTTAAATTTAACAAGTAGTTCCCTGCAGATTGAATGATTAAGTATTAGTTAATGGCATTCAATCTTTTCTCTACTCTATATATTTTCATTATCGATGTTACATCCCTTATATGCACGTTTGTTTGCGCCTTTTCTAATGATTTTTTCACTATGGTCTTTGAGGCATTTTATTTCCATGTCATTCCATTTATATATATTTATTTTCCGCCGCAGGCCTTTATTAATGTGTTTTAGCCCACTAAGTGACAAATCTTTATCTGCACATACGGTCATTTTGAAGGATTTTACATCATAGTTACACGAAATGTGATATTAAACTATTAATAATTAGCGACTTATTGCACTATTGAAAAAATATTGTGTCACGATGTAGAACATCAATATTAATATTATCTATTATTCGACTTGCATCGTCTTTTCGCCAATTTCGTTGGTTACTCCCTTATCCGGGACAGCCCTTCAGTTTTAAACGTTGTAACCGCCCGGACAGAGGTGCACGAAACATGCTGCAACCTAAGCTAAAGGGGCATTTAATTTGAGCGGAAACGGTTATTTATGTGCCCGGGTTTTTCTCCCGCAGCGAACCGACGAGTGACGTGATATATCGGGCGGTGCGTGCATTGACTGATAGCCCAAACCTTCGGTCGTATTTACCTCGACGGGAGAGACCTAATTCCTGTAACTCTGACGCGTAATGCGGCCTCTGTCATTAATTTACAACCCGCCTCCGCCGCCGGTGGCTTTTCGCTGTCGTTGGTGCGTGTCGATTTTTTTGACGATCGGCAGATGTTTGCGAGGATTTTTGGAGCATTTTGTTGTTAAGCTACGACCGGCGTACAAAATACTCTTTTATCAGTCGTCCATACACAATGCGCAAATTAATACGATTCTCCCAATGAAGAATAGCTTCAAACTAACAAGATAATCTCGTAATAGGATATTTATTTAAAATGCATTATAGTACTATACCTGTTTAAAATATATCTTATACGTTCAGCTTTTAAAACGCTTCCCTTGTACAATAGAAAGAAAAGGATTTTCTGTAATACGAATTACCAAAGTCCCTAAAAGGAGAAATAACAACTGCCCTTGGGTTTTATTATTTTGATCATCTTAAAGCCACCTGCAGTTTGATTGCTTTACTAGAATTAATAAAAAATTCAGTCTTTTTATATTCATAAAAGAAATACGGAAACTTCACTTACATATGCAGGCGCTCTCAATAGCATGTTTTAAACAATATGTCATTCATTAACAAAAAACATATTTTATTCAGTCGTATCCGTCTTATTTTAATAGTGAGATGTTGTACTCGTATATGGTCCCTTACATTCTCAACGAAAACATCTTCATTATTGAATCTAAAATTCATGTTTGATGCAGCAAAATTTATTACAGTTTAAGACTGCGCGTTAATTGATGTGAAAAGGTGAATTACTGTTAAATAATTTAAATAGGTTTATTTTTCTAAAGCTCTGATGTTTTTTTTAGTTGATCCGGCATTCTGTGCTGGTAGGCTGGGTGCTTTTGGGCGTATTCAACAGACTGCTGATGGAGTTGATGACAGCGAAAAGGTCAGCTTCGTCAGTAAGTGTATTTTCACACCCTGTGACACTAGTTAGCTACTCTCAGCAATGCGCGACAAAACCACGCATAAATTGTATTGAAATCCATTGTTTCTAATTGTAAGAACTCACGCGACAATACGAGGGTTGGGACAGATGTCATGGCAACTATTTTCGTTCTAAAAGAAATGTTATCGGATCACACAATTTTATTTGTGAAATAAATGCTGTACTGTGTGTTATCAACAACCGATGACTCTGTATCTCTATTAGGGTCATAAGGCCCTCAGTGCGTAATGCATTACGCGACATTCCTCAGGGCGTAATGCATTACGTCCTGAGGAAGGTCGCAGAATGGCGACCGAAACGTCGGCACCTTCGCCATGGACGCGGCGTCACCCGGACAGCTAAGTAAATACTGACTCCGGCCGCGGAAGCCTACGCTCTCGAATGTAACCCGTATCGAGCAGCGCTCATACACCAAGATAGCAGTTCTCAATGAGAAAAGTGCCCGAGAATGGCGTAGAGGATTAGTGGAAGCTCTTGGGAATAAAGCCCATCCACACCGGATAGTCGCGAGATGGCCAGGAGTGTTTTTGCGAGGACGCGCAGTGGGTATGTAATGCTTGTGGAGTGGAGTGAACTTGTAAATGTTAAATGATTTGGAACATGAAACCAATACTGCCATTTCAAATACATTAGTAAGTATGAGAAACACAATTTTTGTGTATCGTTAAATGGCCATGCCCTTAGTTCGTACTTTGTACTTTCACGTGCATATTACCATTTTCCGCCCCGTGCTTGTACTCTCGGAAGAAAAAAAAAGTAGTTCCCGTGACTTAGAACTTTCGTACATACTGAACTACAACAGCGCATATTTGTTTACATTAATTTGCAGTTATTTCAATTTTGTTCTTGCTTCACAAAAGTGGTAAATTGGTGTCAGTGTGATCCGAAGTTGTTGCAGAAACATTGAACATGAGTGTAGCGTCTGAATGTGGCAATGTGGTAGATTTGATTTGTGAATGTTTATTTTATTAATAAGGTTAGTAAGAGGTTCACAATTCAATGTTTAACGATTGTGATTGTTTGTTGTGTTAAAGTTTAATTATTGAGTATGTCATAAATTCCAGAGCCTGATGACGACAATATACAGAAATTGTCGAAACGTTGTTTTTTAATAATCTGAATAAAACTAAATAATGTAGAAACGTTTTCACTATATTTATAAATTAAGCCAAGGAAAAGAGGGGATCATACATCTATTTATTTATTAATGTTAAATTTGCTTTTCGAGCAACTATACTAATAAAACATAGAAGCTATAATTTGAATTAGGATTTATATTTTTTGTTCTATTCGCCTTTTTTGGAATTTATTTAGCTTATAGAATTGTATTTGTTTGTTTGTTTGTCAATGTATAGAAAATATAATTTAGTGTGTTGTGCAAACTACACGCGCTCTCTTTGTGCAGGCCTGTGAAGACAATGGCGTTCTTGCTGGGAGTGGTTTTCGCCAGCTATGTGGGGATCTTCGGGGACCTCCAGGACTTCGAAGAGTTGTTCTGGGAATGAATTTCTTCCTACCACACGTACACCTGGTTATATTTGCAGCTGCGTCATGTTTACATGCACCCGATGGTTAATGATCTCACCTAACAAAATAATTGTTAAACAGCTTTTGCTGCCGTTCAGGGAATTGGTGTCTCTGTAAACGATCGAAGCAGAAGGAAATGTGGACCATGCGATACGGTGCCTGTAACGCGATTTGTGCAGTTCATCGAGGCGTTTAAAAGGATCATAAAATAACATTGCTACTATTTTATAAATTTATGTCGTTTTCTTAATAAAGTATTATTTATCTGTAATGTTTACAATTTAGATACTATTGTATTGGTAATATTAACCAAATTAGAGGTAGAATCCAAATATGCTGTAAAGTAATATGACATTCTTCTTTAACATTTTTACTTTGAAATGCATCTCTTCTTATCTGATTTGTAGATGTGACTGAATATCGTGGGGATATAAATTGTGCAATGGTGAGCAAACTAATTGATAAATAATAATAATACGCGAAAATGAAATTAAGTTGAAGTGCAATATTCATAATGAATGTATCATTCTCCAATGTGAGTCAGAAATGTTCTGATATGTTGCTTCCGCCTAATGATAGCTATTAATTTTTTAAACTGTAAAGTAATTTTTTTAAATGCAGAAAAAAATGAAGAGTGAAAAGAATGTTGTTCTTGTTAAGAAATATTGACTAGTTTCTTAAGAAGCAATTAAATAATAATTTATGTGATGAGGTAGCTTTCCCAGAAGTTATAGTCTTTCTATAAAATAAACAAAAATGTTCATACGGGAAACGATTGTATTTGTTATATGAAGGTGAGTACACATGTTTTCGTTATAAAGATTTTGTACATGCTTATCCACACGATACAGAAAGAAAGAAAGAAAGAAAGAAAGAAAATAAAGTCGTCTAATTGTTGGGATGCGTCTTCTGGGTCCTGTAATGCTATTTAATTTATTTTTAAAAATCAATAAAAACGTATGTGGTATCTGGAGGAGACGTTTAATTTACACCCTTTTTTGATATCCAGAATCCCTACCATCTTGTTTAGTACCTTTAATATGTTAGGTCGTCAAGTTATCTCGGAGTCGTGAATCGATTCCTCTACGTCTGGTACGGTAAGGGATGAGAGCAATTCTATGTATCTTTTAGAAATGGCGCGTGGCAGAAATGGACTCAGTTTATAAACCCTTTCTTGTACGTCAAACTTACGCAGCAGGCATGTCCAACGTTTCGCACTTGTTTGGCCTTGAGAGACAACTGCCGGTGCTGTGACTCAGGAGTAAAGCGCGTTTTGTAAGGGGTTGGGTTGAAGTGGGCGTGGTGAAGGGGAGAGGAGGGGGGGATTGTCGAGGCAGCGAAGGTTATGTTTGTGGTTGTGATGCTGTCACGTAGGAGCGCTGGTAGTCATTTGCTTGCAGTTCTTTGCGGACGGTAGACGTTAATTGTGAAATGTGGTCGTGTGTTTGCGGGATTATTGCGTACGAATAACACAATTTCTGTACATACTCGTACTGGCGGACACGTTTAGATTCCATTAGTTTCCGTTTGTAAATGAGTATTTCCGAGTCAGATTGGACTCGATGTACAGCATGAAGGAAAATTAGGCGTGCTGGGTTTTACAAGTCGTACAATACGCGTGAGTATTTACTTTCTGCACACGTTTTATTTAGTTCTCGTTTTGCTAGAAGTTATAGAAGTGGGGGTCCGGTCATTTTGGCGGTAGTACTTCCAAATGAAATCTGTAGCTCGTTTGTGGATCCACATAATTTATATTACACGGGAGCGGACATTTTTCTCAAATTATGTAGTCTACAATGTTCTTAGTTATTTCTTATTTATAATTAAACGACGTATGGTGAGAGAAAGAGGGAGGTGATAGTGAAGCGCAAGAAAACGTGCGTAAACAGAGCATCCAGTGCCGTGCTGTCCAGTGGCAGTCAGGTGATTGGAACTGTCACATGACTGCCGCAAGCGGCGGCTTTTCGCTTGAGAAACAGTTGTTCGTGTGCGCGAGAAGTTAACGGGATAGTGTAGATCAAAATCGCTGCTATTTGAGAAATACGAATAAAGGGTATAATGATACAAAGTAAATCAGTGGCGCTATCGAAACGGAACACGTGAATGCTGCAAACAGTGCTTACTCCGCTGATGAACAGACATGTATCAGTGTGTTTCGGTAAATAACGGGAAAGAATGTCTGTACGTTGATCGGATTCATATCACAAACTGTTGACGAATGTCGTGCACTAAAATGCAATGCAATAAAATGCAATGCTACTAAAACTACAGTGATAAATGAAGTGTACGTAGTATTTCTATTGAGAGTGAAAAGTGTGCAAGTGCGAGAAGAACGTTGCAACTTCCGTCGGTGGCATTTCTATGGCGGACCTCTTCTTCCTCGGTAAGTATCAAAAGCAGATGTTTATTTACTATATTCAGTTTACCATGAGTAGATGTTTTTGAGAAATTGAATCACAGCTTTATAACGGAATTTACAATAAATTTAATGATTGTTACGTATTAATAGATGACTTCAAAGGGGCATAGTGATAGTTTATGAACCAAATGCATGAAATGCTTTACTTTGTGTTCGATATTCATTCATATTTTTTATCATTTTTTTTCTTCATTTCTTTGTACAGTGTATTTTGTAAAGTGTTGAGTAAACTCTGAAATCTTTATGGTTTCATGAAATATGTTGATGTCTGATGTATATATTTTTGAGATTATTTTGAAACTACTGTAGCTATTGAGGCAGAAAGCGCGAAGGCATTGTCTTCCCAACGTTTGTTATAAAATCGTTTAATCTGTTTTCATTTTAGCAAACTAAAATAGCTATAACTATGTATTCAAAAATGCTACTCACTAGCTATAGCCACGTTTGTATACATGTATCTTGCATATTTTAGATTGAATTGTTTGCATCTGTATCCAAACGCTGCTACTAATGCTGCAGAGCTATTGGTGTAGTTTTTTACACTTTTCTACGAAAATATTGTTTTCTTTATTTGCTTATATCAAATCAAAGAATAGAGCAAGGGTGGACGTGGCAAATGATTTGAGAAGTGTATTATCACCTTTAACACTAAATACTGAAACAATTTTGGAAAGAGATCCGTGCCAGTCCTCTCCTTGATGTTATTTATGTTACAAGAAAAAAGTTAGTTTCTTCGATAGTATGTTCAATAAAGCATATTAAGAGCTATTCGTTGTAACCTAAACCACAAGGTTTTTCTTCTCTTTAATATAATACTTCAATGTAATATTATAGAGGCGAATCTTCAAACAGGTGTGTAAGATGGGAGGAACACGCCTTAAACGGTTAAGAATCGCTGATGTGAGCTTGCCGAAGCAATGTGTTGCGTTATCAATCGAAAATATTTCTGAAATAAACCAGAGTTCGAACATGTACTCATGAAAACAACGATGTTAATTTTATATTATGTAATGTGACATCGGATTTAGTCATTTTGATTATTTAATTTTCGAAACATAACACAATATTGAACTTGCATGTAAATATCTATAGTAACATAATAAAGATTGTAAGAAATAGCTGATAACTGACACATAAAATACGAATAGCAATAATGGAATACTAGCAATAATGGAATGTTTATTAAAGAAGTACAAAAATACCTTTTCTTTCCCTTACTTTCTTAATCAAAGTAATTAGATTTCTGAAAAACAGCTGGTGTTTGTTTCAGAAATACGAACGGGGGGAAAAACGAGTTTTCTAACTTCTTTAGTTTTATGAACACAAAGCGAAACGAAAAATATGATTTGGAAGTGACTCGCTATTTTTGAGGGTTGGTGACGGAAATAATGTGTTATCAATGTCTTTGTTATTGCTGATGTGCAGATTAGCCGCTTAATATTCACATTATCCAAAATAGGTGGATAGAGAACGAGTGTTGATGCATACTTCTGACTTTCGCCAGATAAAATGTTCTTAATTAAACAGGATGTGGCTAGGAGATGTGTAGTAAGTTTGTATAACGAAGAATAACAGACGTGATAAACAGGAGATCAGACTTCAGTTGTTGAAGTTTCTAAACCTAGGAGAGAGAAAAGGTGTGTAGTTTAGAGTTCTTCTGTGTCATAGATTTCTATTTTCACATAAATATATATCCTTAACGTATTACAATATATAATAAAACTGAAAACCGATAGTGAATAAAAGAACGTTAATGTATACATCTGACAGTGAGAGTAAAATAATTAATATAAGAGTTAATAGTGATGTAAATAAAACTGAAAATGTATAGTGGATTGAAATTAAGTTCGTATTATATACAATACTGTATATTCGTAATGAGTAGAAAAAATGTTACTGTAAAAATACAAAATCTGTTAAGATCTCTGGAAAACCGGCTCTCTCCGCTCAGCTAAAAAGAGATCAGCCTCTGCCTTGGCAGGAGCTCTTACCCTTTCGAGATCAAATGAGCTTATATCAGTCCAATTCTTACTAAATGCCTCATTTGATGCTTCCATTCAATTTGTAGTTGTCGCGACGAGTAACGGCAACGAAGTCTCGGCAACGAAACGGTCTCCGGCCTTCGGCCTTCACGATGTACCTAAAACAACCTTGAGACTGCGCAAAGCGAAATTTTCAACGCGTTTTTATGGCAAAGTACTTTCTGCAATGACAGAAAACTTCTCACGGCCAATCACTTTATTCTAACCATTGCCCTATGGATAATGCCATTGGGTGACTGCCGTCCAAATGTTCTGTTTATCGTCCTTCATAATACAGCTGTAACCAAATCTGAATCGATTCGCCATTCGCGAATTAGTCGTATATTGGATTTTAGCCATAACATGTCTTAGAACTATAGTAAGAAGTGTGAATACTTTGATTTACTAGTCATAACACGTTATATGAATGATTTACTAGTCACAGAATGCCGTATTAATCTTTATTATACACTGTACTAACAGATAAAAACTGTCTCTTTAAGTAAATTAT